ACGAGGGAAACAGACACACCGGGCCACAGAAAAGACACATCCTTACAAATATGAGGTTTCCAATAGCTCTTATTATGAATCAATACTCCCAAAAAACAAATTTCAGTCACTCTCTTCACTGTCACATTATCAATTATAATTTGTAAATCGCTATGCCCTTTAAAATTCCCGAATAACATAAACTTGGTTTTATCTAAATTTAGTGATAATTTGTTAATATCAAACCACTTTTTCAATTTACATATCTCTAAATTAATTTCTATCAAAAGCTGCTGTAAATTTTCACCTATACAAAAAATGTTTGTCATCTGCAAATAAAACAAAATTAAGTATTTTAGAAACCTTACATTGTTTTGCTTTCTGATAAGCAAAGGTAACCACTATAAGTAGCGATAAGCACCTTTGCTTGCAGCCTCTCCTCCAAGGGGTCCGGAAGCTAACTTCAGCGCCGTGGTATTACCTGCAGCTGTCTAAAGTAGCCTCATTAAGGCTGCGACGAGGTGATTCATCCAGAAAATTAACGACCTTCTATCCGTGAGTCACACCCTGATCTCACTCCGTTACCTTGATCCTCCAAGCAACAGGGATGGGTCATCTGGTCCAGAGAAACTCACGTGGCCGCTCACCTCTTAATTTAGCGTTGCAATTGTTAACTGTTCTGGTAATCTTTAGGGCCCTGGAAATGGGCACAAGGGTGTTGTCACTCACTGGCTAATGAACCTTTCAAGACCTCCTCTATTGATGTTGTTAAGTGAACCAAGCATTACCATGTAGTTGTTCAATAAGGGTGAAATAATAGTCCAGATTTAAACGTTTTGCTTTGCTTTAATCAACAATTTTCACAGGGGTACAGCAACAGGCACAATTTTATAATGATTAATTTTCACGATTACACAGGATACACTTTCTTCACTAAAATAAGGTAATGGATTTCTCTTGATGACCTAATCCCCAAGAGCCCTTGGGGATTTTGTGAACACTACCTTCACTCAGACCTTTCACACATCAAGCCAAAAGAGGTTCTCTCTCAACTCCCTCATGAACCAGAAACACCTCCGAGCAAAACCCACTAGTACCCAGTTTAATACTCTTGAATTTATCCTGTATGCTATATTTCTAATCTGATTAATTAATTTATTTAGACCAGAAGGACAGGGCAGTCCGCTTACCATGATTCTAAGGTGACCCTCAGAGAATCTTTGTGATGGCAAGTGGCATATTTCCCGCCTCCCAGGAGGGAAGTACGGGCCTACCCAAAACAGAAGCTTATGCCAAATTGAAGAAATCAGAGCTTTGGATGAGCCCGGGCCAAGCTTTTTAGAAGTAGGACACCTCTCCGGTCTGCTGTTGCAAGTGAAGATTTAAATTCAATCCCATTTCAGTGAGAAGAGAAGTAAATCCCAGCCTTGTCTCAAACCGATAAAATCCAACTTCTTTCGGGCGTCTCGGATCCTTCGAACTGCTCCCTGCTTGTAGTTCCTTCTGCTCAACTTCTTCGACTCAGCTTTGACCAAGTTTCATCAGTTCAGTCTGTATTTAAAGACTCCCTTTTCCCTCCTCCTCTTAAGGAGGGGTTAGAGGCCTTTCCTGGAAAATGATATCATCTCTTTTCCAGTAACTGAATTTTGTTTTGTACCTCAACCGGTTCTAACCGGTTCTTTGGGTTTTTCCTCAAAGTTGTTTTTCGCTCTGCTTCTGGTACTTTCCAGAACTCGAGAAAACAAGCTGTTTCCTGTTTTGCTCAGAAGTGCGTCACCACGAGATGAGTTGAGTTGAATCTCATGACCTTCTGTTTTGTTACCATGGCTTCTTCAATTACACATGCTTTTCTCTAATAGTTCAAAATAACTCATGCAAAACTTTTACAAAGGTTATACATTGATCACTATTCTCAACTTGTTTTTCATACATTCATAGCTGGCCTCTGTTCTCTTTCCTTCGTTCAAGGCAAGTACAGACTTGTCTTAGACAGGCATGTCCAGACTTGTCTATGATTACACCTCTTTGCTCTTTTCACTTCAACACTTTCCAAGTAAGTCACACAATCATACAATGGATTATACAATTCTTATAAATCAATACATATCATTAGTTGATTACTTGTTGATTATTGGTAAGACATTTTTGCTTACACATTTTTATATTTAGCTTGATTTAAAGCAGAGGTTCAGTCCTTTTGTCTTCAGCTGCTGAGGAGAACTTGATCAGGCTTCACCTTTATTAAAGCTGGTTGTCTGCTACATCATCACTTGACACCAGGTTTATCGACAACATATATCATTTATGTATAAACTAAACAACTTTGGTCCCAATACTGAACCCTGGGGAACACCACAAACAATGTCCAAGCAAGAGGACTGGAATTCACCTATTTGTACAAATTGTTGCCTGTTTCTAAGATAACTTTTCAACCAGTGCAAAACTACTCCTCTTAGACCATAGCGCTCTAGTTTCTTGATGAGTATTTCATAATCAATTGTATCAAATGCTTTTTTTAAGTCAATAAATACCCCAACGGCAGGTTTCTTTTCATCTAGTGCACTGGTCACCGCTTCTATTAATTGAAGTACTGCCATCGCTGTGGATCTTTGTGACCTAAATCCATACTGACTCTCAACGAGTAATTTGAGTTTACTAACAAATCTGTCCAATCTAGCAACAAATATTTTTTCCAGAATTTTGGAGAATTGTGGAAGTAATGAAACAGGCCTGTAATTTGTGAACTGATGCCTATTCCCAGATTTATATAGTGGGATGACTTTTGCAATTTTATTTTTTTGTGGAGATATACCTGTTTGAATTGATAGATTACAAATGTATGTTAGCGGCTGAATAATTTCCTCAGTCACCTTCTTTATTATTATTATATCAATGCCGTCACAGTC